GTCTCACAAGCACAAGATATAGTTTTAGGATAACCTCTTTAGTCTTGTAACTAACACTCCTTTATGTGAACAAAAGTACTTTGTTAGCCTTGTTTCGAGCAAATACACATTGTTTACTTGGTTTAAGATTCCTACTTATCATTACTCCTAAATCTTTCTCACAGTCAGATTTCTCTATTACAACGTTGTTCATCTGATATATGGTTTCTCTGTTTACATCTTCTAGGCTTAAGTACTTTACATTTGTCCACATTAAATTTCATCTGCCATTTTTCAGACCATGCGAAATTTTTTTTTAGATCTTCCTGTAGTTTTGCGGAGTCCTCGTCAGATTTAATAACACGCCCTATTTTAGTTTCATCAGTAATTTACTTGCGTTGTTGTTTACGCCTATATCTATGTCGTTTATGTATATAATAAATAGTAATGGTCCAAGTACAGAGCCTTAGGGTACTCCATTAGTGACGTTACCCATATCGGATTTAGAGCTGTTAATACTTACTCGCTGTTTCCTGTCCTGTAATCACACCCTAATCCATTTTAGAATATCTCCTCTAATTCCATGAGCCTCCACTTTTCGTATTAGTCTTTCGTGGGGAACTCTGTCGAAGGCTTTGCTTAAGTTGAGGTAAACCACATCATAATAGTGCCCGTCGTCTGATTCGAAAACAGCTGAAAATTTTTTTAATTGATTAGTCAGACATGAACGCCAGCTTGTGAAGCCATGCTGGGAATCATTGATCAACTTGCGCTTCTCCAGGTGATTTCGAATAGATTTTGAAATTACTGCTTCCAGCAATTTGCCTAAAATTGGTGTTAAACTGATTGGACGGTAGTTAGAGGATAGTGATCTTCTTGAAAATCTGTATCACATTCGCTATCCTCCAGGATTCTAGTACTAAACCCGGTTTTAATGACATGTTAAACAAGTTGCTAAGGGCACACTAAGTTCTTCCTTACATTCCTTTAATACTCTGGCAAATATCTCATCAGGACCTGGTGACTTATTAGGCTTTAGTTTGTCTATTTGCTTACTACTTTCTTGCTTAATTTATTTTCTTCACTATCATGTTTAAAGTAAGTCTCTTCAATTATAAATCCATTTTTTTCCTTTTAATCCAACAATAATTTCAGGTAAAAAAAATAATTAGGATAAATGGCAATAAAAACACCATATATTTATTTATTTTGTGTTTAATTAAATAAATATGATATACAGTATTTACAAAATATACAAAAAACTTGATTAAAAAAAGAGGAATGTTGTGCAGATTGGTAGTTTAAATGCTTAATTGGCAGTTTGGTAGTTTGAAAAAATAAACGAGAGAGAAGGATTGGCTATTATTGCTTGTGGTAGTTAAGGTTTACGATGATGGACCTTTTATTATGTTATCAAAATAATGTACAAAAATATATACAATTTATATTAGTGACAAAAAATAGCTATGGGGACATATTGTTTCTCACGGGAGGGTTTTTAAAATATTCTGGTCTTAAAAAAAAATAATAATAATAGGGGTATATATTTTTTTTACCTAGTGGGGTTACAAAATAGTGATCTTATTATAGGAGAAAAGTAGCTATTGGAATATATTTTTTCATAAGGTGACCCCCCGAAAAAAATAGTATATTTATTAAACCAAAAAAAAAAAAATCGGCATATCAAATTATAATATTAATAACATAAAATAATTGCTCTAGTGATATGATATTTTTCTCTTGGGTAAATTACCAAAATAAACAAACAATATATCAATAAAAACAATATAAGCCTTAGGGGATATTTTTATTGCTTGGGATATACAAAAAAAAAGTAAGTCAAGGGAAAAATTATTGGGAGGATGATGGAAAACTTTTAATAATCTAGAAGGTTGGATAATTTATTGTGACCTCTTGTTTTGCGAGGCGAGAGATGACGTCACTGTGTGTGTGTGTGTTTTTGTGTGTGTGTGTGTGTGTGTGTATAAACAGAATCTCCCTCTTTCTCCCTCTCTGAAACTTTCACTTTTATCAAAGAATATCCATCACAACGAAGAAAAGAAATGTAATGCAAAATCGATTAAAAGAGAAGTGGAGAAAAAGCAAACGAGACGAGACATTTAAAACTCGATAGATAAAAAAATCCCTGGAATTAGTCTTGTTTACAAAGCAGGTAACACCCATGATGGAATATATCCCTTTTAAGAAATATCAAAGAAATTTTCCGCCAGGTAGGAGGGAGAGTAAGGGGTCGGAGGTAGGGGTGGTAGGAGGGAAGATGGGAGGGAAGGAGGGGGTAGGAGGGAGGGGAGGTAGGTTAGAGGGAGATATTTAAGGTACAAAGACCTATTTAGGGGCCAATAGGTATTAAAGAAACTCGATCTCTCACTAACGACTTGGTGGGACAAAGTTGTTTCTGTGGGATAGAACCTTTCCCTCCCTCCATCCCTCTTACCCCTCCCTTCCTCCCTCACTCCCATTCTCCTTCACCCCTCCTTTCCTTCCCACCCCCCTTCCTTCCCACCCCTCCTTACCTACCGTCGTCTTAGTATCCATAAAAGCGATCTCAGTTCTCCGTCAGCCGTGTGTAGTCAGCCGTGTGTAGTCAGCCGTCAGCCAGCCAATAATTTCCCCACTAAAAGGTGTCAATCTCACCTGGATAATTGATCTCCTTTGTCGTGTGAATAGCCCCCCCGATACCTGGTCTCAGACGGTCTAACTCGGTGCCTCTGACTACTGCTGCCCCGACGCCCTTCCCATTAGCTGCCCTTTGCCTCCGAATCCTTTTCTTCCCTTTGATATATATTTTTTCTAATTCCTTTTTTCAATCTTTCCCTAGTACACTCTTTTTTTTCCCTAGCACTGTCCCTTTCCTCCTTCCCTAAAAGCCTCCTTTCTCTAACACTCCCCTTCCACCCTAGCACCCCCTTCCTCCCTAGCACCTCTCTTCTTGTTCCTTCCTTTTTAAACGGCAATATTAGGTCCCTCTTTCTCCATTCTCCTAATAAACACCATCCCCTTTCCTCTACCTGTCTCTCAGCCCTCCTCCCTCTCCCCCTTACTCCCACTTCCTTCCCTACCTCCTCCTCCTCACCCTCCTCCCCTCACCCCACCTACTACCTGTGTGAGAAGTGAAAACATTACCGTGTTTTTGTTGATTATAGAATGCATGTAAAATATACCTTGTGTACACAGTATAGAAGAACATGTGACTATATTATATATGTTTGTAAAAAAAAAAACTGCATATAAGGAATTTACAAGTCAGAGTGTGGCAAAAAGAACAATTTGTATCACTCATTTGTAAATACGACTCACAAATACACTTAAGCACCACTGACGTCATCATCTCTCTTAAAAACAGCTGACGAATAGGCAAGGGGAGTTCACAAGTTTGGTGACGTCATATCTACGTCATAAAGTGTGTGGGTGGGGGGGGGGGGTTATATAAGACATCTGGAAACTGGCCTGTAGTTAAGAGCAATTAAGAGCCTCTCTCTGGTAAACAAACATAGGAATTTCACAAGTAAACAGTAAAATTATCGTACATGTAAGAGTTATCAATAATTTAAAAAAGAATATAAATTGAATAATTCTTTTCTATTGTAATTAAAGGGATATTTTTTTACAATACATATCTACAATTTTTTTCTTATTAATACCCCCCAAAAAAATCACTGTATAAAAATAAACTTGCTTCCTGTACATGTTATTTTCTTCACTAAGTTGGAAAAAAATCGTAAGTTTTTTCCTTCACCATAATAAGAGTCAGTATCGTGTAGTGGACTGTAAGTAGACCAAACTCACCTAAAAAAAAATATTAATAATTTAAAGAAATCATAATTCACTTGTATTACTTTAATATATCCAATTCAAGTCATCTTTTGTGATGTTATAAATATCAACTTAATTTTTTCTGTTTTTCTTTTTTCAATCAAATCAAATTGTTTCGTCTCGACACAACCTCCCACAGAACACCAAGTGATATATATATATATTTATTTATAATTACATTCACACTCCACCCTAAAAAGAGTCAAATGAGATTCATATAAACTTCTACACTTGTCGACACTATGCCGAAGAGCGTAGAAAACTAAATAAAATGACTTTCTTCCAGTGAGTTGTGTGATAAGCGTCGTGTATAACTGATAAATCACTTCTAGTAAAAAATTTATATTCAATTTTCCTATTTTAAAGACAACAGGAAAAAATCTTATTATCACAGGAAAATCAATAATGCTAAGATTCTTTTCCTGTTGATAAAATGTAAAATAAAATGCACTGAAGAGTATCTGGGCAAAAATGGCTTTGAAATGTAAATAGTCAACGTAAATCACAATAAAAAAAAATTAAGATTACAATGCAGATAAATTTGTTTGCAGTATTTGGTCGACGCCCCTAAAAAAAAAAAGTCCAAATGAAATACTAATATACATTTTCTTTTCTCTAAGTAAAAAACTCGTATATTAAATGCAGCAGAAGAATGTTATATTTTAATATTTATCGTAATTATTATCTTAATCAACTTTGAAATTAATTATCAATAGGTCAATTGTGTCACCTTAATTACATTCTTCTTATTTTTTTCTCATCCAAAGTTTTTAATTGAGTATAATTAATTATTTCCATTTAATCTGACTTAACAATTACGTCAATTTGTTTGTTTTGTGGTAATTAACCTCCATCATCATGTACAGAGACACTGACGAACATTTACCACATCAGTAGGATTTGTGGGTCAATGCCAATAATTTCCTGACAATAACCAGTAGGTGATCCCTTAACATTGGCCAGGTGTTAAAGGGCTAGGGAATGGATTAAGGGTTTAGAGGCACGATTAGAAGTTCCAATCTTAGATCACGGGAGTTATTAAGGCTTGGATGAGAGGATTCGTACTTTAGTTAATACAGGCTAGGAAATAATCTAATCCAACTCCTATATGATAAGTGGGAGGGAGGGAGAGAAGGGGCGAGGGAGAGAAGGGGTGGGGGAGGGAGAGAAGGGGTGGGGGAGGGAGAGAAGGGGTGGGGGAGGGAGGGAATGGAAGGAGTACGCAAAAGAAGGAGAGAGGGAGTGGGTGAGGGAAGGAAGGCTAGGAACTCCCTCCCTCCCAAACTACTTTACACCTCGCCACTCAGTCCACATGGCCTCCCCCCCCCAACTACTAATTAAAAGGTTTAATTGGCAGTTAGGGAACCATTACAGCCGGACCTATTGTCTCGCCTGGGTGGTGATGGGGAGAGAGGAGGGAAAAGGGAGGGAGCTATCAGGGGGAGGGAAGGGGGGAGTCCGTCTCAAAAACGGCAGAAATTGGGCCTAAATTTGCATCACTCTTGTAAAGATGGGTGGGTCAGGGAGAGAGAGGGAGTCGGGTGGAAATGGCAGGGAGAGGAAGAAGAGAGGGAAGCAACAAGAGTAAAAAAAAGAGGGGGAAGTGGAAGGGAAAGAGGGAGAGAGGAAGAGCCTTCTCAAAATTGGTAGAAAACGGACCAAAAATCTGCTTCAGGTAGAGCAGCGCCACCTGGTTCCCTGATTAGTTTCCGAACAGGTAAATTATCTGGGGTCACCTCTCCAATTTGGAAGTATTACATCCTGCCCAGGTGAAGAAGGTGAAAGGATGGCCTGTGTGTGTGTGTGTGTGTGTGTGTGTGTGTGTGTGTGTAGTAGTAGTCATGTACGTCTGGCGGATGTGGTAGGAGGGTGGAGAGAGGGTCATTAGCATACACTCTTCCTTTCCTCTATTCAAAACACGAGACCATAATAACTACTCCTAAACACAACTTTGGCATGGTTCTGTTCATTATCGTCCTATACAAGATGTTTACATCAGAAATAACAAAAAAATTAAAATCACAAGTCAAAAATAACAAGTTTTAAATGATATTGAAAAGCAAAGTTTGAGAATGACCAAAACAAAAATCTGACTCTTTTTTACAAAACGTAAAATTTTATAGTAAACGAATATCTACAATACACTTCACTAGTCTATTGTAAATCTAAAAAAAAAGTGTTTTTTAAGGACTAGTATATATATAGACCGTCGTCAGATCTTTTCTTTTTACTGAGGTTGGCAATGTGGCCGATGATCCGTACTCCACCCGGGCCACAAGTGCTTCATCCACGGCAGATCATCCATCACCTAAGGCCTTATCTGTCCCTTTGCCGTTCGGAGAAAGCACTGAAGGACCTAGAAATACACCTTGTGGCACACCAACAAGAGCTGCAGCCCTTGGTTCTCCTTCACCTCCAGGAGGATTGAGGAAGGTGGCCGAAGAAAATTGCCGAAGGGGGCGACCGAAGAAGCAACAGACCCTCTCCGTTAGTACTTAACACCTGGTTGTTCCTACACCTGCTCTTACACACACCTTGCAACTATCAACACCTTGCTGTTCTGCAGGCCTTTGTAGTTTACTACACCTTGCGGTCCTTAAACCTGCGGTCATTACACCCTGCGGTCCCTATACCCTAATACGGAATTATTTTCATAACCGATTCAGGGCATTTAGGGCTTTCACTTTTCGTGTTTTCCGTGTATAGAAAACAAAAGAGCGGCGGTCCGTCCATCAGTGCACACAGGCCCTGTTGGTGATCTTGGCCACGTTTTCCTCACTCATGACCATAAATTGTCTGTTCTTGGACCTGGGTTCTCTTCTCCTTCTCTTTTTGTTCATGAGCTTCTGAACTCTCCCGCCCCTCACCGCTAGGTACTTTTTTTTCTCCTCCACGGATATATAAGTGTATCCTCCCCGCAGCGTCTCGTGTAGGACACACGTCATGCTCCCTCTGGGGTTCTTTAGGATCTCCTTGTCTCTTGCACTGAAGGGGCATGAGGCCGACCTCCTCGAATTCGACCTCTTCTTATGCTTCCTGCGGTGTCTGACACGCCGGACACTGTTAGGGTTGTCGCGGCAGGTTAGGGCATCCAGCCTGGCGAAGGATCTCTGTAAGGAGAGGAAAGTAACAATGAAAAAGTGAGTTAAGGGTGGGGGAGGGGGTATACCACGTGACGTCATCGAGTCTTAGAGGTAGGGAGGCGTACCGCGTGACGTCATATATATATATATATATATATATATATATATATATATATATATATATATATATATATATATATATATGTGTACAGTACTAGCTTAAGTAAGTCTTAGGATAATGAATGTAATTTTCAAAACAACTTGTAGTGTTGCAATTACAAACTGTCGTCTTAAGGGAATAATATAGAAATTTGGTCTTAAAACAACAGTCATAATTAAGTCTTAAACCTGGATTTTTAGTTTCAAGCAAGCAAGCAAGCACACACACACACACACACACACACACACACACACACACACACACACACACACTCACCCACCGGACCTCCCAGATTAAACTTTGTGTGCCAGAATGAGCTTTGGGCCGTAGGTCACACTCTTCCCTCCCCTTTACCTGAGAGAGGTGGGACCTTGCTAATTACAGTCCGCTCAGGTAATTACAGGCCCGGGCGACAGGCAGGACGTGCCATTTCAGGACCCTAGGCCTACATCTCTCTCTCTCTCTCTCTCTCTCTCTCTCTCTCTCTCTCTCTCTCTCACTTCTTTATAATTACAATATACAATACAAAAGTTATCTATATCACAGTTTCTTTGTGGCTAGAGCTACAAGTACATATCTATCTGACCCCGTGAACCCTACCCTCATGACCTGTACTGGTAGTTATTGACCCCCCAAGACCTGGTGAGCTGTACTGAGGTATAGTTTTTTAGCCACGCAATGTCGTGTCACCATCATCAATCGTTATTATAAACATTGACATTTTTATACCACCATCATCATCATCACCATCATCATCATCACCATCATCATCATCACCATCATCATCATTATTGTGTGTTGTGTTTTCGTCTCCTTTCTTTTCCTCTCTTTTTTTCCTCTTCCTCTTCCTCATTTCCTCTTCCTCATTTCCTCTCCTTTCATCCCTCTCTTCATTCCTTCCCAAATTTAGCCTTTCCGGAAGAACAGAAAAACGCCTTAATTAATCACTAATAGAAGGAAGGTGAGAGGGAGGGTGATGAAGGAGGAAGGAGAGTAATGGGAGGGAAGAAGGGGAGAATGGGGAGGAAGGAGAGAGAAGGAGGAAGAAGGAAAGGGGAAGAGATGGAGGATAAGGATGAGGCAGGTTGAGGGAAGAAGAGGAGGAGGAGGAGGAAATAACAGAGAGGGAATACCAGGATAATAGGAAGAGGGAAAGAGGAAAGATAAAGGAAGAGAGGAAGGAAAGAGGGAACAGACAACCCAGGGGTGGGATGGGGTGGTGGGACATACATACAGTACATCCATCATGTCCTCCACTACTTGATAAGAGTTGAATGTGGTTATTAGCTGTCAGTTAAAGGAGACGCCATGGCCCAACTAGCCTGTCATTACCCAATACCTGGTTATAGGCATATAATAGGCCTATACACCGGGAGAGGGGGGAGGGGGGGGAGAGAAGGAACCCATTGGCCGAGTGGAACAATTCATCCTTAAGGGTCGTTAAGAGAACATCACTCCCCATGATCCTTCAAGATTTTTTTAAGGTCGTTTGGGTTTTGTTATAAAGTATTGGATTTTTATTTATTTTTATTTGTTATTGTTTATTTTGAGGTTCGAAACAACTGCATACTTTGGTAGGTTGTAGTAGTAGTAGTAGTAGTAGTTATAGTAGTAATAGTAGAGATATTATTATTATTAGTAGTAGTAGTAGTATTATCGAAATCACTTTTATTATTTTCGTAATAAATTTTCAGTCATCATAATTACTGTAATATTTATAATTTTTATCATTGTCATTTATAATCACTTTCATCATCATTTATAATCATCACCATCATCATCATCATCATCTTATAATCATCACCATCATCATCATCATCACCAACACCTCACTTAATTTTCTTCAAATAGTTTCTCTTCTCATCCATGAAAAAAAAATAAAACTATTCCCAACATTTTCTCCAACACACAATAATTTTTAATCATTATTATTAAACCAGGGAGGCTAAAATTAAGACTCCCCGTGTGGGTCGTAGTAGGGAGGCTCCGTACGTCTCTCCCAACAATGGCGGTTAAATTACTCTGCGACTGGAGGGCAAAAGTACCGCATTGGTTGTGAATTTCATTAGTATTTTCGACCATAACCGTAAATATTGTACTGTACATGCCAGACCACCCACTGTATCCTTCTCCCTTCCTTCATTCCATTCCTCCCCTTCCCTCATTCCTTTCCTCTCCCTTCCCTCATTCCTCCCCTCCCCCTCCCCTCATTCCTTTCCTCCCCTCCCCTCATTCCTTTCCTCCCCTCCCCTCATTCCTTCTCTCCCCTTCCCTCATCCTTCCGTCCCCTCCCCTCTCTTCTTCCTCGTCTCTGTCTGTCTGTCTGTCTGATGGGCAGGTCTTAATATGTCAGCATGTCTGATGGAAAGTTCTTAATGCCTGTGTCTGCCTGTGTGATGGGTACTTCTCTCTGTCTGTATCTTCCGTCTGTTTGTTTCTATGTCTGTCTGATGGGCATTTCTGGCTGTCCTTGATGAGCATAATAGGTTAGGTTACGCTAGGTTTGGTTAGGTTAGGTTAAGATTATACGCAAGTTAAAGTAAGGTTAATTCTCTGGTCTGAGTCCAAACCGTAACGAGTCGCAAAAATAAAATCTCACGAAACTCTTTAGAAACTGAACAACTATTTTAATTTCCCACTTCCCTCACAACACAATCACCAGACAAGACTAAAATCCCTCAAGATTACCTGGATTTAAGTCGTCGCCAGGTACCTTAATTTAGGCATAAGGTGTCGCGGATTTGTCAAAGATTCGCACAAAACTTTTCCCGACTCTTAATTGGAGATAAAGTGAACGTGTCTAATAATAATCGAGACTTGTTTAATTTTGATTCTTATAACTTGTTAGAATAGAAAGGGAAAAAACCCAATTTATGATCCAAATCTCTTGAGTATCCAATTTGCTGTCATATCTTAAAAGTGGATTAGTTAGATGCGTTCCCGTATGTCTAATTATAGGGGGGAAACTAACTTATGATAAGCACGTTTAAGAATCCATATTTGGTCGTAATTAAGTGAGGCAGTAAAGGGGGAAATGTCTTAAGATACGAACCTTTGATAATGAACCTTTTTGGGGGTCGTAGTTTAAATGAGCCAGTAAGATAAATTAAAAAAAAATCCACTTACGATGGAAAAGCGGATTTACGGGATTTTTTAGGATCCTGGTATCACAAGTGGACAAGACGGTATACGTGTGTCGCGGTATTCCACACGTGACTAGGATTTACGGATTAAGTTTCCATAGGGAGGGATTTAGGACTAAGCGGATTTTTCTGGTATTCCACACCTCGTCAAGTGATGGTTGATTTATGGTCAGTTGTCGACACCTAGGGATGAGAGAACGTGGGAAGTAGATGGGGAAGAGAGATTAGACACTGTTAATGGGGAGAGAGAGAGAGAGAGAGAGAGAGAGAAAGAGAGAGAGAGAGAGAGAGAGAGAGAGAGAGAGAGAGAGAGAGAGAGAGAGAGAGATTCTAAATCGTCTTATTCAGGCCGTATGTATTGTATGCTTGTATATATGTATGTATGTAAGTATGTAATGGATGAATGATCCCTTACCACACCACAGCCACCTCTCAAACACTTAACTGAAACCACTACCAAACCCATAACCACCTACCACTACCCCCCCCACCCACCCACCCACAGTTCCTTCTCAACCACTAGTGTTTACCTAAAAGATCAACATTTGTACTAGGTTCCACCACCACCCCTCCCCAGACACACACACACCTTTCCCTATTGTCTACACCAAAGCCTAGGCCGACATTGTCCTTATTGTCCTGTACAACTGCTGCTGGTGGCTAAGTGCAAACAAACACTCGAGAGAGACCTGAGGTGAGGCCGTCCTGTGTTCCGGTAGTGTGACCTCTTTTGACCCAAGGACAAAGGTCAATCCAATCCGGAAACCCTCAATGTAAAATAGGTCAAGATGTGGAACTAAACGGTGTGTCGTCCGTCCGTCCGTCCGTATGTCGTGTTTTCGATTTTTTTGGGGGGTAGGGGGTGGGTGATAGGGGGTAGGGGGTGGGTGATAGGGGGTGGGTGATGGGGGGTGAGGGATGGGTTTTAGGCGGTTTAAGGATAGTTGTTCGTACCTTTATCATTATTATTATTTGTAGTAGTAGTAGTAGTAGTAGTAGTAGTAGTAGTAGTAGTATAGTGGTGGGTATTAGTGATGGTAGTGGTCGTACTTGCACACAGTAATGGCCACATCTTAAGTCAAACATTCGCACTTTTCGCATACGATCTACACCAAATTACCCACTTATGGCCCGGGGTCTAAAATGGCCCTCCCGAAATTGGACAACAAATAGCCAAGCTTTCAAATTATATGTTTGTGTTATTTATAGTTCCTGGAGAGACGGAAATAGGGGCAAGGAGAGTCACCGGACCCGACCAGACCCGGAACAGTATTTAGGTTAGGTTAGGTTAGGTTAGCGACAAATGGGGTAGGTTAGGATAAGTTAGGTTAGGTTACGAGTCTTATGTCCAGAATAACTTGAGTCCCATGAGGAGAATCTAAGGCCAACACAGCTACTGGGAACTGATACGTGTTGATAGATAGATAGATAGATAGATAGATAGATAGATTTATAAATAGATTATATCCCAATGTTAACCATCCTGGAAGACAAAAGAATTCCAGTGTGTAACGACCCAAAACGACGCTGTACTACCTGTTAACAACCGTGAGAGGACCTAATGACCAGGAGCTGGATGGTTATCACCCAGAATCAACACAGAGGGCCATTAATGGCTTCTAAACGACTCGTATGTGACCACCAGCCCAAACAATGCCCCCTCCCCTTCTTCCCCCTTCTCCACCCCCCCCTCGTTCCCTGGGGTCCTTGGGGTCCTGATCACGTCCCTATGTAGAGGTACTGTGTAGGAGAGGAGCGGAGCCAATTAGGGGTGAAGGAGCCTTTTAGTGGAGGCCAAAGAGCTATTTAGAAAAGGTGAGGAGGGCCATTTAAAAAAAAGTAAGGGAGGGCCGTTCAGAACAAGTAAGGAGGGCCGTTTAGAACAAGTAAGGAGGGCCATTTAGACGAGTATGGTAGGGCCATTAGGAGCAAGTATAGAGGAAGTGGGAGGGAAAGAAAGAAATATTGGATGAGAGTTTAAAGGTTAGTGAGGTAATGGGAGAGAAGAGGGAGAGAAGGATGGATAGATTTGAGCACTGGTGAGGGAGTTGTGATGGAGAAACGTTCACCATCTTCATCCATCAACACTGGGTGATGGTCGTGAAGAACCAGAGCACTACAAAACAATGAACGTCTGCCTACCTTGAGTGATGGTCGGAGGTCTATAGAAAAGCCCTCTTCCCCCTTCACTCCCTCTCTCACACCCCCACTCTCTTATCCCCAACCCCCCCCTCTCAGCCCACACCCACACCTCCTCACCTCTCAACCCTCACCCCTCACGCACCCTATCTTGATTTTAGGCCACTCCAACGAAAACTAAATGAACCGCAAAGTAAACTCGGCCCATACTCGAGGGGCGTGAGTCAACATGGCGTGGCGGTGTTTAGCGCTGAGCGGATCGTAATGTCTGGTAAACAGGTTGGGATGAGTCTAAGGCAGAGGCTGTACACGTTAATACACACACACACACACCCACACACACACACACACACCCACACACACACACACACACACACACACACACCAGAACAACAAACAGAAACTTGCTGATTGAGACCATTAGTGAACTGAAATTTTAAATTGAAACCACATCGTCAACAGTGAACTTAGTATTCTCTTGACTGATAACAGCAGTGAACTGAGGCCATGTACTCACCCTCTTCATGAGCTTGAACTTGCCCTTCCTGTCGTCGTAACACAAGATCTTGGTCAAGTTCTCCGTGTGGAAGATTCCCGTCGACGGCCCTGTTTTGGTCACGTAGAATCTTTCTGTCGGAGCAAAATTGGGAATTTATGAGTAAAATATGGGGATTTAGGGATAAAATTGGGGATTTATGAGTAAAATATGGGGATCTAGGGATAAAATTGGGGATTTATGAGTAAAATATGGGGATCTATGGGTAAAATTGGGGATTTATGAGTAAAATATGGGGATCTAGGGGTAAAATTGGGGATTTATGAGTAAAATTTGGATTTTATTACTAAAATTGGGTAATATTCGGTATTATAAAGTAGAAGAGGGAAAATAATGGGGATTTAAGCGTAGAATATGTTAATTTATAAGTAATTAATAAGAATTATGAGAAGAACATGGGACTTATGAGAGTGAATTCGTAGAAAGTTTGATTTCTTAGAGGAGAAAGTAAAATTTGAGTAGTGTCTTATGTATCGATCTGTCTGTCTATCTGTCTGATTGGCTGGCTGGCTATCTATCGACCCGACTGTCTACCTGTCCACCTGTCTCGTTATCTATCGACCCGTCTAAACAGCAAAAAGCCCTCCCTCCCCCACTCCTCGACTCTCTCGTCTCTCACGTCTTAATAAATTAACTAAATTATAAGAAGGAGATATTGGCTCTCTCTCTCTCTCTCTCTCGTGATATACGCCTAACTTCAAGCAGGAATTTACATCAGTATCCTATAGCATTTACACCCATCATCCTATAGCATTTACACCCATCTTCCTATAGCATTTACACCCATCTTCCTATAGCATTTACACCCATCTTCCTATAGCATTTACACCCATCATCCTATAGCATTTACACCCATCATCCTATAGCATTTACACCCATCATCCTATAGCATTTACACCCAACATCCTATAGCATTTACACCCATCATCCTATAGCATTTACACCCATCATCCTATAGCATTTACACCCATCATCCTATAGCATTTACACCCATCATCCTATAGCATTTACACCCAACATCCTATAGCATTTACACCCAACATCCTATAGCATTTACACCCATCTTCCTTCAAGATACACGCCCGCCCTCAAGCACAAATTATGTCCAATATCCTTAAGAATTTACGTACGGCATCCTATAGCGTTAACTCCTAGCATTCTGTAGGATTTAAACCCGAATTATTGTAGTATATACTCCCCCTCCTTAGGCAGGATTAACGACAGATATTTTGTAGGGTTTATGTCCAGTTTCCTACGTATCCTAAAGGCACTTATGTCGGCGCCCCAACACACGAAGGATACATTATCATGGGCGGTGCTTCTCTGGGGATGCTAAGAGAGAATACATACATAATTAAGTGTATGCGAGTGTGCGTTTGGCAGCCGCAGCGTCTACAGGGGTCTGTCTGTCTGTCTGTCTGTCTGTATTTGGTATGTGTGTGTAAGATAGACAGACATGTATGTATGTATGTATGTATGTATGTATGTATGTATGTATGTATGTATGTATGTATGTATGTATGTATGTATGTATGTATGTAGGTATAGAATAATAACCCGTATATTCCTTATAACACAAGTAAAGAATTTATCATAAATTATACCAAATTACAACTCCTTATCTTCAACAACCACAAATTAATAAAAATAATCTAATCAATTTGGGATCCGTTCATCACCGAGTCTCTTAATTAAATTCCTCAGGTGAAGCCAAATTGATATTCTCTCATAGATTATAATTATCGTTCATCTATTATACTAACAAGGTATCGTATGTTTCACGAGTTTAATATCATTTTAACAAGGCGTTGGCTATATATATATTACGCTTCATATAACAAGGTACTGGATATATTCTCGGCTATATAAGAGTCTTGCATTATATTTGTTTTATTATATTATATTTTAATAAGTAAATAGTTTTAAGGGAGAGAGGGGCGCCACGTGTTGTTGTCAAATCTCTTAACCAAAGGCGTTGTCTCTTACCAAAGACTGAAGATATATGAAGCAAGATGATCTTAGCTAATGGTGGTTAGATGATAGAGGGTGAAAACGCTTGGTGGTGGCTGGCAGGTAGTTCCTCAGGGTAGGAGGAATTAATGAACTGTCGGGAGTTTATATGATACAGGAAAAACCCCCCTATTGTGGATCATAAAATATATCACTCTATCGTATATAGTTTGGGTTATATAACAGGGTTTAGGATATATTATGGGCCCGTATAATATAACGGGGCGTGTCGTTATATATTTTTTCTTTCAACGGAGGTATTATATATTCTGTTAACGGGAGAGTGGATGAAAATTACGATATTGAGGTGGGAGAGGGAATGAGAGGGGGTGGGAGGTGTTGAAGTAAGGGTAGAGATGGGGAGGGGAGAGAGGTGTTAAACTAGGGGTAGGGAGGGAGGGGGAAGGGAGGGGATGTTGAAGTGGGGGTAGAGAGAGGGAGGGGGAGGGATAGTACTTAAAATAGGGAGAGAGGAGGAGGTAGGAGATGTTAAACTAAGGGGAGAAAGGGGGAAGAGGGAGGGAGGAAGGAGCTATTGCCCTATGGGGAGAAAGGGGGAAGAGGGAGGGAGGAAAATGATGTTGTGACTAAGGGGAGAGGGAGGAGGTGGTGAACGAGGCATCTTGAACGAGACTTATGAACGAATCAGTTGAACCAATTTCCTGAAGAAAGAAATTGAACAGACGACTCAATTTCATGAACCACAACAATAAAACGAACCACTTATTTTTTTTCAACCATCTAGAACGAATAAGTTTCACGAATTACACCATTAGACAAGTAAACGAGCTACTTGTACGAGATGAGGTGACAAACCGAACGAGCAGTGATTGGAAGGTTCAATGTACACCGCTACCCAGGCCATTGAAAACATAAGACACGACTCTCCTAAAAAAAGAAAAAAAAAAAATCTAAAATTGTGTCCAAACATCATCTTGCTCTCGATATCGCCCTGAAAGGAAAAAAACGAAGGAAAATAAACAAACAAAAGCAAACAAAAGAGACAAGCCACCACTGAGTAGTCCCTTCTTTGTACCCAGAGACAATTGGGGAGGGGGGTGGGGTAGCCGAGGGGGTAGAGGGGGTGTGGGGGCTTGGTACAAATCGAATAAATTAAAAACAACTCAACGAATCCGTTTTAAAAGAATCACTCAAAGCAACTATTAATCCGAATCACTTGATCAACTAATGAAACGATTCACTTTGTTTTACGAGTTATTTAAGGAGGAGGAGGAGAAAACTTCTTGTAGTCTCAGCCAACGATCACTCAGACCTTTACTGATTTAAGGTATCGATATGCAAATTATACCTGTTGAATATTTTTTTTCATCGATTTTTTTTTTTACTTCCAGACGAACTTTAAAAAAAAAAACACAGGAGATGGTTTGGTTTTATTTGTGTTTGTATTGTTGTGGTGGTTTATCTACTCTGGGGTAAACCACACACACAAGAATAAGTTTGTTTTTTATAGATTGTGATATTTGTAATTGCTCTTTCGTTTTAACTACAGAAGGAAAAAATATTATAATGACACGATTTATCATTTCGCATTAACATAGTCGATTCCACAGAAACAAACACGCAAACAGACAGAAACAAACACACACACACACACATTTAAACCAGTATCCTCATTGACAGGAGGAGGAGACGGGAGGGCAGTAACGCATCTGTCTTTCTAGGATAATGCCGCGTGTAAACAGACGGCCACTGTCTCTACGCCGCGTCAACAGACCTACCTGTCTCTAATGACGACATGTGTATGCAAAACGTTGGGTCACCTGTAATCAATGAGACAAAAGCTAACTCTCTCTCTCTCTCTCTCTCTCTCTCTCTCTCTCATATGGGCTGAGAGAGGAGTGAATTGCCACTACCTGTATGGCATCAAAGGGGTTGCCATACAAGGTACCGAATACCCGAAAACCCTGCTTACCCTTCCTCCTCTTCCCTTCCTCATCTCCCCCCCCCCTTGCTACTCCTCTCCCTTCCTTCTTCCCCCTCTTGCTCCTTCTTCCCCCTCTTGCTCCTTCTCCCCTTCCTTCCTCCTATCCCCCCTCTTCCTTCCCTTTCTTCCTTCCTTCCTTTTTCTCCCCTTCCTTCCTCTTTCTCCCCCCTTCCTTCCTCCTCTTTCTCCCCCCTTCCTTCCTCCTCCTCCTCTTCCCCCTTCCCCCCTCCTCCTCCTCTTCCCCCTTCCCCCCTCCTCTCCATCTTCCCCCTTCCCCCTTCCCCTCCCCCTTATCCGATACTGTGGCAGGTGGGCTTCGTCTCGTAACTCCTCTTTTACGATATGTACGCGGCCCGTCCGTTACGATAACCACTGGGGAAGGAAGGGGGGAAGAGGGGGAGTGAAGAAGGGAGGGGAGAATGGGAGGAAGGGAATGAGGAAGGGAGAGAGGATAGGAGGGAAGGTAAGAGGAGGATATTGTATTTTTGTGTCTTTGTTTTGCTTGGTAGAAGGAGAATGGAAAACACAAATGGTGAAAAAAAAACGATAAATATTGCAAAAGAGATAGAAATCGCAACAACAAAAGCTATTGATGAATGTACTGTATATTGCACAAAAATAACAATATTGCAAAAAATAAAGATGAATCAACATAGATATTGCAAAGATGTAAAAAAAAAAATATATAAAATAAATACTAAAATTATCATAAAAGAGTATTGCAGAAAAATACCTATCGTAAGACTTGTTTAAGATGTTGCAAAAAAAAATGACGGAAAATGTTGCAGACTTACGCAGGTGGTCGTCTTTGTTGCAACAGTCGGTGAGGTTGCCGCCGTGCTTGAACGAGAGGCAGACGCCAGAGTTAGACGCTGAGGCGAAGTATCTATACCGATCATTGCTTCCACCCATTGCTGAGACCTGTGAGGGGAGGGGAGAGATGGTGAGGGGTCAGTGTGAGGGGTGGGGTGAGGGGTGAGGAGTCAGTGTGTGAGGAGTGAGTGTGAGGAGGGAGGGTGAGGTCAGTAAGGAGAGGAGGGATGAGAGGTGAGGTCAGTGTGAGGGATGAGGGTAGGCGATGAGGGGTGAGGAGTCAAGGTGAGGGGAAGGGTCAGGAGTCAGTGTGAGGGGTAAAGGGGGGTGAGGGGAGGCGATGAGAGGTGAGGGGTCAGTGTGAGGGAAAAGACGTAGTGTGAAGGGAAATAATGATGATGATGATGATGATGATGATAGAGAATAATGTCAAAGCTAAAGCTATTTAATATCTTTATTGATTCAAGACAAAGCTATCGAACGCTAACATTTCTCCGATGTTAAAAACTATTCCAGCCTAAAACTATCCGCAGCTTCGACTATTAAAAGCTAATATTCCTAAAAGCTATAATTATCAAAAAGCTAACATTCCGAAAAGATACAAATATATCAAAAGCTAAGGATATTAAAAACTATAATGATAAAAAGCTAAGGTAACTTAAAAAACTACAATATCAAAATAATAAAAAGCTATAATTATCAAAGCAAAAATTACTAAAAAGCTATAATTACCAAAAGCTATAATTGACTCACCACAAAGAGCAGAACCAGCAGGATAACGGCAAGGTGTCTCAGTCTGCAAAGAAAGAAACAAGGCCATTAGCTTTTATAGGGCAGTTAATGGGTTGTTAAGAAGTAATTTATATCCAAGTTGGTTTAATTATTGGTTTTGGTTTAATTATTGTTTGTTGGTTTTTAGCTTTTTTGATGTAAATTGTGTATGTTGTAGTCAGGTATGCTATTAAGTGGTGTCTAGCCGAGACTAGCCCATCTGTTGAGAGAATTTGGGGTTCATATTGGCTAGTTAGTTCCTATTTTCCCCTTAACTAGACGCAAAGATAATGGCGTCCAAGTTACACCGAGACTGTATCGTAACTTTGGATATTAACTTAGGAATCTTTGGAGTCATTAACCGGTGTCAGGCCAAGAAATATCGTATCTCTCTCTCAAAGGATCGTAAGATGGTGAGGGTAGTAGGGAGGGTAACTAGAACAGGTTTCCTTAGTACTAAAGATATGTATATGGCTATTAAGCAGCAGTAGTGTGGCCAAAACAGTGAACGAGAGAAACATCAACAGACCAGCTACCCGCCCGCCCCACCACCAGTGACTCAGCGATCCCCGCGTCAAGTGACCTACGTCAATATTGACATGGCAAACTTGTGGGCCCCCCCGTTCACTACTATTACCACCACTACTACTACTACTACTACTACTACTACTACTACTACTATAACACTACTACTACTACTACTATTACCGCCCTTGCCGCCACTACATTCCGACCACCACTACTACTACCACCCATGCCACCACTATCCTTGCTACTATCGCCACCCATCCTGTCACCCACGAAGGTAGACAGTTAACCAGTCAGTACTCATGCGGCCAACCAGTCAACCATCTAATTGCACGGTCAATTAGCTAGACATAAATCCAGTCCAGTTAGCAGCCAGTCTATTGCTACTACGCTAGCAGGTGGAGTAAGTGGAGAGGGGAGGGAGAGAAGAGGGGGAGGAGTGGAGGGGAAGGACAGGAGGGAGAGACAAAGGGGGGGGAAGAGAAGAGGGGGAGGAGAAGAGGGGGAGGACAGGAGGGAGAGACAAAGGGGGGAGGAAGAGAAGAGGGGGAGGAGAAGAGGGGGGGTGGAGGGGGAGGACAGGAGGGAGAGACAAAAGGGGAGGAAGAGAAGAGGGGGAGGAGAAGAGGGCAAGTAATATTTCTTCTCATTACATTTCTGTTATCATTCTCTTTGTTTACATATATCAGCTGATCTAAACCCAAAATGGCGTATACCTGAAAAACAACCACGACTCCGCTAATTACAGGTGAGACACGTGAGAGATGTACTTACTCCATTTATTACCCTCATTACCTGGTGTTTATTTGTTGACTTTGTATTTATAATGGGTTTAATGAGAGTAATTTGTTAACTGGTTTTATATAATTTGGATTAAGAGTTACGATTTTGTTTGGATTGATAAATAATAGTAATAGGTATTGTTAGTTAAGTACGATTTATCTGAAGGGATAAAAGGTAGGAATTTATTTAAGAGGATTACATGACACAGGGTCAGAGGGCACGACGATTACCTGTAGCGGGTTTGTTTACTGGGGATTATTACGACATAGATTAAGTGATATTGATGATGTTGAAAGGAATTTGTTGATATCTAGAGAGAGACTTTGTTGATAAGTCTCTCTTGATATCTCATGATTTGATAAGGATTTCTCGGTATATGTTTGTTGATATTTATTGCTTGATATATGTGTGTTAATATTTACAAGTTAATATATAGTTGTTTATAAATGTTACTTTTTCTTCGTATCTAAACGTATTGAAGAAGACCAGAAATCTTCAACGTTTCAACTACGACATATTAAACCTGTGTGATAATATATGACAAAGCTCAATACATTACATACAAGATTTGTTCATTGAGGAAAGAATATTTTTGTGATTGCTGTGTAATTGGGAAAGACTCGTTGTTTTCGCGATAGTTATGAGAAAAGTATGAATTCGCGATGTACAGTATATTAGAAGCATTTGGCGATATTTAGGTTATTGGTGAAAGAGGACGGTCTCATGTAGAGGATGATTCTTAACCTACTTGTCATTCATCACAGAAGACCCGTAAACCACTCTACCCCTTGCTCGGGGCTCGACTACATGGCGAAGTGGCAGTAGTGGTAGCAGTCGTAGTTGTAGTAGTCGTAGGGAGTTCAGACGGAGCCACAACCACGTCTTGTCTCTGTATCTCTCGTTCGATCTCCTTTACAAGTCCACTCAAAAGGTCTTTACCCTAACAAACCCTTTGAATCTTAAATCCTCTCTTCTCTTCCATCTCATTTCACTTATTCACCGGAGAAACACTACACCAATCACCTGTTGCAACGCTTTAATTAACACAACACTATACACCTGAATTGGCACCTGTCGCGTAGGGTTCTAAACACTATTTAACTCCTGCTTTGATCGCGATGGACCAATGAAAACACAAGGTAAAAAAAAAAAAACAATCAAATCGTATGGGTGGGTCTGCCTTGTTTACTCCTTGGGGTCTTCCTAACTACTGACGATGAATGTGAGTTACCAACGTTTATATGTGTTATCGTGTTTCCCGGAACGTTATCATTACACCTACGCAATGCTAATCGGAAGGTAGAGAAGGCGATAAAGAGGAAGTATGCGGGGAACAGGTGAGTGACAGTAACGGGGAACAGGTGAGTGGCAGTAACGGGGAACAGGTGAGTGGCAGTAACGGGGAACAGGTGAGTGGCAGTAACGGGGAACAGGTGAGTGGCAGTAACGGGGAACAGGTGAGTGGCAGTAACGGGGAACAGGTGAGTGGCAGGAACGGGGAACAGGTAAGTGGCAGTAACGGGGAACAGGTGAGTGGCAGTAACGGGGAAATCTAGAGGCATTCCAGAGAAGGTGAGGAATGATTAGAAAAGGAGAAAGAGAGAGTGGAACAAATTTGAATGGACAGATTAGAGAGTTGTGTAAAATTTGTACAGTGTTTAGTTAAGACGTTAAGTGACGAATATGAGGTGTCTAGTTAACTCCTCCTCTCATCCCCACCTCCGCCCCCTCGTCTCCCCTCACCTCCCCCCACCCCTCACGCCGTCTCCCCTCACCCCCACCACCCTCACCCCCCAACCCCCTTACGCCGTCTCCCCACCCCTCACCCCCCCCCTCCTCACGCCAGAGACGGAAGTAGTGATCTCCCTTGAAAACCCGTGTTGACATCACCCCCACTGGTGCACCGACCCATCCACTCACTACAGATGAGGCAATGTATGATGAAGTAATACCCTTTAATCATCACCCTATTGAACTGTGTCTCTGGAGTCCTCGCCATCATCATTGTCTTCATTATCATCACCATCATCATCACCGTCATTATCGTACTCATCGGCAATGAAGGAGAAATTCCGCCGATTGATTAAACCTGTATTCAAAATAAGTCTTACCAAGTAGCCATATATACCAGGGCGACGAGAGGTAGGTACTGTACTTGTCTTAACGTTGGGATGACTGATCTTCAGGTGAAATAAGGTAGGGGAGGCGAATCTTCGGGTGAAATACGTCATAATTGAGGTGAATATTCAGATGAAATAAACTAGGAGGCGAATCTTCAGGTTAAATAAGCTAAGAGGCGAATCTTCAATGGGAGGAACGAATCGTCAGGTCATATAAACTAGGGGGAGGGGGTGGGAGTGAATCCTCAGGCGGTCCCAAATACTTTATTACCATATCTCAAGAAGAACAGGATGTGTGTGTGTGTACTCCTCCGTCGACCTCCTTCAGATAAAACTTGACGTCGCGTTACTCTAAATAGCATGACGCAATCTGTTACAACTCCAGCGGGTCTCCTCCTCCCTTGAATACCTCGTCCTTATCATCTCACGTCACACCAATGGACCTCGGTTCGAACCCCACCCCATCCCCAACCACCCCACCCTTCTCCCATACCCCTTCAACCCTGGCCGATATGTAGAGAAAAAGAGAGAGAGAGAGAGAGAGAGAGAGAGAGAGAGAGAGAGAGAGAGATAACATTCTTCAGTTTAACTTAAGTGTATGTGCGTTAGTAGTAATGTCATCTGTAATTACATGTTTCAATGTTAGTCTGTAATATACATAGAGGTTTAATTTCCACAGACATACGTTAGAATTTAAGGAACACGTGAAGATTAGCCATTCCTACAACCCATAGGTAATTTCAACTGACGATTAAAAGCAACGTACGGGAATTAGAATAGGTTAGTGTTAGGTCAGTGTTAGGTTAGTGTTAGGTCAGTGTTAGGTTAGTGTTAGGTTAGTGTTAGGTCAGTGTTAGGGTTAAGTTAGTGTTAGGTTAGTGTTAGGTTGTTTAGTCATGAGGTGGTTAGTGTTAGGTTAGTGTTAGGTTAGTAGTGTTAGGTTAGGTTAGTTAGTTAGGTTAGTGTTAGGTCAGTTGTTAGTGTTTAGTGTTTAAGGTTAGTGTTAGTGTTAGGGTGTTTAGGTTAGGTTAGGTTAGTATTAGGGTGTTTAGACTTGAGGTGAAATAAACTCCAGATGTTCCTAATTAAACCTAAGAGTGAGATGTTAGTTAATTTTAATCCTCTATAACGACCTTGATCTTCTGTCTTTACCCGGGTAATATATCGTTATATCAGAGTATATCTCTGAGGGCTGACCGAGATAACGGGTCACACAATACTGACCACTGTATCGTATTGCCTCATATATTAATACTATCCTATATATAGTGTATGGAGCACCACTTCTCCTTAGTTGTGTAAGGAAAAGTATGTATGTTGAGTGTATGTTGTATGTATGTTATAATTTTGTGGAAAACTTTTATTATATCCAGGACAAATGTGTTGAGAAAGTGTCTGTCTGTCTGTCTGTCTGTCTCTGTCTGTCTGTCTGTCTGTCTCTGGATGGTGTAGAGAAGAAGCTGACTGAGCCTTTACGACAGTCATTCTACCTATCAAATCCAGGTAGCGACAGTCAATCTACCTGTCAGATGGTGGCTGAGGTCACGAGCGACAGGATGATTGATTGGCGATCACACCACCACTCACTGGCTGG